ATCAGCAATCAGCTTGGCTATATCAATCCTCCTTTAAGAAACATATGTTGGAATTAAAGCTCAATATGTCCGTAGGTTTCCTGGGGTTATGATCCACAGTCATGATAGTAGACTGTGAAGTCAAGGATTATGGGACACAGATAGGAAAGTGGAGCTGAGAACACTAAATCAGCAATCATCTTATTGAATGGTGAATTAGGCTCTTGCTTCCAAGTCCTTTATTGCTATGAGCACATGCACAAGCCTGTGTCATGCATGTGAATGTCAAGGGTGAAATTCTTTGCCAGCATCGTTCTTTTTGCCTCTAATTTCAATAGAATTCAATGAAATGTTGCCCTATTGGGCTACCATCAGAACATTGGATTCATAGCAGTTAATTAGGATCAAGTTGAAAGTGTAATACTAGTCAAGTTCTACAAATTTTAGATGAACAACCTGCAACCCTGCAAAGCTGATAAATTATAAAGCTGAAGGGCCTTGTAAGGCTACATAATCCTAAATAAGCTATGCAAAATGATTTAAGGCCAGTTCAAAGATATTGTGTTTAAAAAATAGACACATAGAAAATAAGAGTGAGCAGGCCATTTGGACCTTCAACTTTGTCATTCAATATGATCATGGCCAATCATCAAACCCAGCACCCTGTTTCTGTTATCTCCTCAAACCCTTTGATTTGTTCAGCTCTAACGGTTGAAAACATTCAATATCTTGTCCTCAATCACTTTCTGTGACAGAGAATTCCACAGGCTCACCACTCTCTGGGTGAAGACATTTCTCATCTCAGTCCTAAATTGCATATCTGTATGCTTAGACGATGATCTCTGGTTCTGGAGTCCTGGACCATCCTTCCTGCATTTACCCTGCTTAGTCTTGTTACAATTTTATAAGGTTTCTATGAGATTCAACTCTCGTTTTTCTAAACACTGGTAAATGGTCCTAAACGATCTAGCCTCTCGTTGTTCAGTCCTGCCATCCCAGGAATCAGACTGGTAAACTTTTGTTGCACTCCCTCTATAACTCTTCCTCAGATAAAGAAGCCAAAACTGCACACAGTACTCTAGGTGTGGTCTCATCAAGGTCCTGTACAATTGCAGCAAGCCATCCCTACTCCTGTCCTCAAACTGTCTCACTATGAAGGCCATCATACCATTTGCCTTCTTCACCTACATATTTATTTTCAGTGATTGGTGTGTAAGGATACCCAGGTCTCATTGCGCATTCCTTTCCCAATCTATCACCATTCAGATAATAATCTACCTTTATGTTTTTGCTATCAAAGTGGACAACCTCACATCTATCCGCATTATACTTCATCTGGCATTCATTGGTCCACTCACTCCATTTGTCCAAATCACACTGAAGCATCACTGCATCTTCCTCACAGTTCATTCGCCCACACCGCTTCATATTATCTGCAAACTTGGAGATTTTATATTAACTTACCTCAATTCAGAAAACTAATATATTTTGTGAATATCTGGTGTCCAAGCACGTCTAATCCCTGGAGTACACCACTTGTCATTGGCTGCCACTTGGAAAAAGATCCTGTTTATTCCTTCTCTTTGTTTCCTGTCTGCCAGCCAGTTCTGTATCAATGTCAGCACACTATCCCCCAGTCTCACATGCTTTAATCTTACATACTAGTGTCTTACGTAGGACTTTATCAAAAGTCCAAATACATCCACTGGCTCTATTAGCTACATCCTCACAAAATTCCAGTAGATTTGTCAAGCATGATTTCACTTTTGTAAATCCATGCTGACCCCGTCTGATCCTATCACTGTTTTCTAAGTGCACGGCTATTAATTTTTTTTGCGATTGATCCTAGACTTTTCCCTACTACTGATGTCAGGCTAATTAGTCTACGATTCCATTATTTCTCCAGACATTTAAAAAGTAAAATCTGGGCTACATTAGCTACTCTGAAATCCATAGGAATTGTTCCAGAGTCTATAGGCTTTTAAAAAAGATGACCATCAATGCATCCATTATTTCCAGGGCCACTTTGTACAGCACTCAGGAATGTAGAACTTATTGGTCTTTAAGCCATTAATTTCCCGAACACCTTTCCCTACTAATATTGATTTCCTTCAGTTCCTCTCTCTCACGAAACTGTGTTCTCCAACATTTTGGGGACATTATTTGTGTCCTCCTTTGTGAAGACAGAATCAAAATATATATGTTTAATTAGTCTGCCATGTTTTTGTTTCCCAATATAAAGGACTTACACTTGGGTTCATTAATTGGTTTCTCTTCACATACGCATTGAGCTTTTACAATCGGTTTGTGTGTTCCCCGTAAGTTTTCCCTTGTAATTTTTTTCCTACACTTTTAATCAGTCCCTTAGTTGAAATGTAAACTGCTCTCAATTGTGAGGTACTTTTTTTTTGTCAATTTGGATTTCATGCTATTCCCATGTTAGTCATGACCGGGCCCTTCTTTCCTGTCTTATTTTTGCAAGTCAGAAATGGACAAATTGTTACAGTTCCTTCATGGTTTCTTTAAATGTTTGCCACTACTTATTCACCATCTCTTTAAGTAATGTTCCCCAACTTATCACAGCCAGCTCATGCCTCATACCATCATAGTTTCCTTTACTTAGAGTCAGGACCCAAGACTTAGAATCAACTACGTCACTCTCCATCTCAATATCATATTATTCACACAACCCCCAAAGGCCCTTGCACAGCTAGACTGCCAATTATTCCTTTCTCACTAGACAATACCCATGGCCTGCTCTTTACTTGATTCCTCAATGTATTGATCCAGAAAACCATTCTTTACACACTCCAGGAACTCCTCTTTTACAGGATTGTCACTAATTTGATATGCCCAATCTATACATGGATTAAAGTCACCCATTATTGCAGATGTTCCTTTATTCGTTGTGTCTCTAATTTCCTGTTTAATGCCTACCTCAACATTACCGCTAGTTTGGAAGTATATATACACAATACTCACTATTGTTTTCTGGCCCTTGGTTTTTCTAACATATACGCATAGAGGTTACACTTCCTGGAGCTAATATCATTACTCCGTGTTGCAGAGTGTATTCTTTTCATTCTTACAAAAAGCACATTTGGAGAACTTGCAGTTTGGGAAAGGGTAGACCTGATTGATATTCACTTGGGTCAGTGAGCTGCGGCTTTTTGCTTTTGCCTCTGAAAAGGATTTTGGACTTTGTGCATTACATTAATTGGTGCCTTATTCTTAAAATTGCTCCCTTTTGATTTTGCTCTTAATTTCTTGAGGAATAATTAGGTTAGTTGTTGAGCCTGATGAAAGAAAAATGTATAAGTTTGGGAAGATCTAGTCCATGCAACATATGCTCCTCCTTGACCGAGTGGCAGATATTCTGGTTCCCACCATCTTCTTTATTCCCACTGTAGCTCCATATTTTCAATGGAAAATTATTTTTCCCTTACATAAGTAAAAGCCATGGTATCTTCACATTACAGTATGGGCCAGTGGTTCCCCAACAAACTGTATCATAAAGTACACTATCACATTTGAAATAAATTAATAGAAAGTGCTGTTGCTGTCAATGGATCAAAATTTTACGATCCACTCCAATAAATGCAACGGATCCAGAACTACAATTTGATTATGATGACTATACCAATTTTGGGGTTAGGCAATTTACATTTAGTAATGATTCTGCACGATAAGGTGGTGCAAATTATGTCAAACACACCTGGGATTGCTCCAATGGAGCCTGATTTAGGATTAGAGAAACAAGCAGAATTGAATCCCTTTATGTGCCAAATTTCTGTGTGTTCCCAGGTTAATTCTGAATTTTATTCTTGACAGGCAACACATTAGGTGCTCCAAAGATGAGAAAGCTGGAAATCGCACAAGTGACAATGCCACTAGATATTTACATAGTAAAGTTTCAAAGGTGCACTAAGAACCTCCACCACACTATGCGTATAATCCCATCAGAACATTCTGACTTCCATCTGTTGTTGTGTACAGGAAACTCATGTCTATAAGTTGCCTGTCTAGCAGCACTTACAGGAACATTTACAGGCCACTACCCAAAATAATAAAACACCTGATCCCCTATTAAAATTAGAGTCCTGCTCTGGGCTCACTCTCCTGTTGATTACTTACTTGGCTGATTTTTAAAAAAAAAAACATTTGTCTTAGTTATTTCTATAATCAGAAAAACAACTTTCTTTCTTCTGCTCCACTTCCTCATGCACTTGTAGGTTTTGTTGAGTTAATCATCAGTGTGTCACTAAGGAAAGTAAAATCTCCCACCCTTGCTGAATTTTGAATTCTCAGCACTGGACTAGGAATCATCATTGTCTAAGCACCATAATCAAGTGGCACAAGCTAGCATGATCTTCCAAGCTTTCTGACAAACTGCAACAGTGCATGACCTCCCTGAAGTTCTAGTTTAGGTAATCGTTAATGTTTCATTTTTTCACTGTTAGCCTCTTGCTCGCCTTCCATTGATCCTCTGGTGACAATTTTGAATTCTAACTATTCTGCGTGTATTTATTTGTCCTTATTGAGAACTTCCCTGGTTATTTTCTCCACCTAGTTTACACTTTGGAACCGTCATAAACATGGCATTTCAAAACACCAATTTTCTCGCTCCATTTCCCATTGCTCCAAGCTTCACTTCCATAATACTGTTCTGACCAGACATAACATTTGAACACAGATTCTTATTTCAAGCTGATATTCCCTAGAATGTTGCTTTGTTTTGTAAATACCTTTCGACTGTCCCATTCTTCAAACCAAATGTCAATTCTGCTTTTGCCAACAGACGTTGCTGTGCTTCACAGCTAGTTGAATTGATTGACGTGACCTAATTTGCTCCAAATTTACTGTGCTGTTGCACCCTGGAAATGCCTTCTCCTTTGTCATTACTGGATTAGGTACAGGTATTGCTAAATTAACTTGGATTCCAATGACAGAGCTTGCTATATCATTTCTCAAGTTTTGCCCTGTGATTCTTTCAACAACACAAGACTCATCTCAAGACACCATTAAAAAGCAAAAAAACTTTTATTTAAAACTTTTTTCTAACCTTCCCCCCTCCTGAGTTATTTCTTGAATCAGAAAAATACTTTTTTTTCTTTTGCCTTACTTCATAGTGAATTTTTAGTTTTTTGCTGATTTAATCAATAATCAAGAAAACTGTACAATATGCTGAAAATATGACAAATTATTTTCTTCAATGTTCACAATTAAACTAAAATTATTCTGGCTATTAAAAAAAAACTAAACAATGAATTGCATAATGCATCTCACACAAAAATTCTTTACAGGAACAAAAACAAAAAACCCGTCCTTTTCACTTTATTTTCATGGCGCACAGACTATTATGGTGGATGCATGTAGTTTCACAGCACTAGAGTAGAAACATCTTCTGATTCAATGCACAATAAGACCTTGCTGAGAGCAGCTGAAAATTCCAGAATGATAAACACATTGCCAATTGAAACTACAGCACGAAGAGCTGAAATTTGACATAATTTTTATCACTTAGCAACTGATCTTGTATGCAATTTTACACACTTCTTTTAGAATTCTTTTTATAAATGTGACATAAATATTGTTATAAATTGTCATCACCTGAATGAAAAAAATTGCACGAGATAATTTAAGCAATTTGGTCAGTTTTGAGAGCATTGTTAAGTAAATGGCAGCTTTAGGAAAAATGGTCAATTCAAGTTAACTCTGCTCCTGCTTTTACTCTTCACTGGCTCAAAGACACTTAAAATTAGTGGCAACAAAAAAATTTATTACAATATTTGGTGTTTCGATAGGCAAATAATTTCACAAGCTCAATGTGTGAAACGCTAACACTGCATGACAAAATTTCAATTGATACAGAATAAGGTTTTTTTTTAAAAAACTGCAAGGCATCTCCACTCAGGAGTATGCCAGTATTATCCATACTGTAGATCTGAAAAATAAAGATGTGGGATCAAGCCCAGTCCAGGATTTAATTCAATACTGGGAATGCCACCTCGCTGACAAGACATTGAACGGCTTAAGTTCTCTGCTTAGGTGGATATAAACGATCCATAGCTTTATTCAACAAAGTGGGAACTACCTAGTTTGTCCATTACCATTTAATCAACACTAACTACAATAAATCTCAATGCATGTGGAAACGTACTGTGTGAAAACTGACCATATCAGATATAACAGTTGCTGAACTGGAGAATCCTGATGTTATAGAACTGGAGTCTTCCTTTGCCAATAACACCACTCAAAATTATATATTTAGATATTTGTATGGCACATTGGATCTCAATGTAATATTGCACAGGACACAACATTGTAGGACTGAGTCAGTTCACAGAATGGTTAATTCAAGATAATGCTTGTTAAGAGCTTATTTATTCCTTGACATTCAGCAGATCAAGAGGTGATTTAAACAAATTTTTAAGATAAAGGGCGACAACCAGGGCAGACTGGGGAAACAAGACTATTTTCACAAGTTGGAATGTTTAGGACTGGGGGATGTGGGAGGAATAGGGAAAAATGACCAGTGTCTAAAAATTGGAGTCAGTGTGTTCAGAAATGAAATTATAAAATATTCTTCACTCAAAGGGATGACAGAAGTTCTCTCTTCAATAAATGACAATTGATGTAGATACATTGTTAACTTTCAAGCTCAGTTTGATAGCCACATATATGAAGGGATATGGAACATAGGCAGGCACGTGAAGCTTGACTGCATATTAACCATGATCTCATAAATGGTGGAATAAGCTTGAGGGATTAAATAGCCTACTCCAAATTTCTATATTCCTTCTGAAAAAAATTGTATTGAAAAAATGAAGAACTGCCAAGTTCTTGCAAAAGAGATCAAAGCAACAACACAAATATATGTCAAAAGATATAGACATTTTAAGAGATTTAGTTCTTACAGCTGGACAGTATTATAATTTATAATAAGCTTGTATTTCCATGACCACAGAAGCTTACTAGAAAAACAAAAGTATAGGCAGGGTTAAAATTATCTCACGTTATTGTGAAAAAAATGTGTCTTGTTTGGAAATACCATTTTAAAGTCTTCTGTCAACCAGTTGTGTATGTTGCAATCTCAGGAAAGGGTGCAAACAAAACACAATAAATTGTCATATCCTTTGACACTGGTGCTTTTATCTTCTGTAACGATATCTTTTGAAGTGAAACCACAGTTGAAATATTCCATTGGCAAATTGACACCTAAAACCATGCCTGTGAGAGTACTCCCATTCACGGTTCACAATTTTAAAAGCAATATCTTCATATGGAGGGCCTGCATGGAAGCGTAGAATTGCAAAGTCTTTGTTGTCCACACATGGCTCAAGGAAATAATGTGGGGTTGCCCTTTTGTCAATAAGATCTGGATAAAATATGTTGAATTTGTAACCCTGGACTATCTTTGGAGGAGGATTGTCAAAATCATAATGTGTTTGATTGTATTTGTTCCACTCAAAGCCTGTATGAACACGATTGAAAAAGCGGGGTTTCCTTGGACGATATTTGTCAGCCCAAAGATAGACTTTGCCAGTTAAGGGCATCTCCACACTGAACTGAGCTTCATCAGTTCCCATTCCCTCCTTGGCTTTGCGTACAAAGGCATCTTCAGCACTCTCACTGGCATCACCTACGCAAAAGAAGTAAAACAGATGCTGAAAACAGAAGATAATTCAATCTACAAAGCAAACATTAATTACTTGAAGAAACTATAGGTCATAATAACTAAAATTTATAATTTGACGTACAGATCCTCAATATTTAATATGCCTAGATAATCATGACATGTAGCACATTAAAATGCCACATCTCGATGCTTAGGAACTAAAGAACAGCTTGCACATATCTTAATCATAATTGTGCTTTCCCCTCTTGCTTTTCATTCAGAATTTGAGGAATACAGTTAGAACACACAAATAAGAAATATACTGGTTATCACAAGTGGGTTGGAAGGGCATCCTTATTGATATTATACTGAAAGCTGTTTGCTGAAAACAGGTCAGAATGAAATGTGAGAACAAAAGGTGACCCTGCTGACCCTTCAAGAACAGAACATGTGAAATGAAATAACCTTTTCATCAAGATGGGAAACCTTGGGCAAGGAAAGGTGACATTTCAGAGACTGTGGTGTGGAAAGATATGTAATAAATAAAAACTGAAATGCAATTTTTGCAGTTAATGAAAATAATTAGTAAAATAGTTACAACATGAAGCAACACAGTTTATTAACAAAAAACTCTCAGATTTTGGAAGATTGTTTAGTCAACAGATCGTTCATTTACCTGTCACTTGCAATTGCTGTCTTGCCATCATTAATTTTTGCAGATCTTCTTCAGCATCTACTATGTGGGTGTCCATAGGTAGTTCATGAGGGCTGAGTAACCTAGGACTGTATTTGCCAGCATCATAATCATCCAAGCTTTGCTGGATTAGATCCTCCTCAGTAAGCACCGCCTCTCCTTCAGCTTCTGGCTCTGCATTCTCATCATCTTCATTTGTTTCTGAAGTGCCTGAGGCAGAAGTGCCTGAGGCAGAAGTGCCTGGTGCTTCCTCGTCTTCGCCTGATCTTCAGGATAAAGTTAAAAAATCAGAATCTCACTCTTTAAAAGTGATAGCTAGTGGGCCTCAGAACCATCAAAGTGGAATCACTTTCAAAATTTCTATCAAAAATGGTTGGTTAATTAGGAAACGAGTAACAGTTTTGCCAAAACATGCTTAAACACTTTTGATTCTTCTTTTGGATATATTCTGTCCAATGTAGAGGACGTTACCCTAGCTATTGCTATAACTATTTGCTATTTTACAATGTGGAAGAATATTTCAAGGGTATAAAACATAAAAAGTAGCTTGGTCTTTGTGCCAAAGTTAATTATATAAAGAAGCCAGCTTTCTTGAATATAATGAAAGGCTGATATGGCAGACAAGTAACACCAATTCTGAATATCAGAATTTGTGTTTGTACCTAGGAATTCTAAAAAAGTACCTGCAAGAAACAAGGCAGAGGGCCAGAGGAAAGGGACAATGTTACAGAGAGGTTAGGCCGAAACAAGAGGTGGGAAGGCACGAAATGAAGTAAAATTGGTCAGCACTAGCACAGAAGTAATGAAGAAAAAACAAAAATAAAGAAGGTGAAAAAGGATGGAGGGGGTTCCAAGAGGACGGACATTGTGACTGATGCCATAAGATCGAGAGGATTGCAAATGTTTACTGTGTGAAGCTGCTTTAGTAAATTCTGAAATTCAATTGATGTCTACACCATTAGGTCAAAATGAGTGGTTAAAATTTCTGGGTCTCCAGAACAGGCACATATAGCACAGAAATTAAAAAAAAAAATAAGGATACGTACCTGTTCTTAGGAAATGGAGGCTCTTTATTTGGAATTAAAAAGAATGGCTCATTTTCAATTTCTTGATTTTGCTTCAGCATGCAAATATTCTGATGTAATTCATTTCGGCCGGTTTCATCCATTCTAATAAAAACAAAATAATATTCAGATAAACTGAAACTGTAGAGTACAAAAATATATTTGAGTTTACTTCTTTGACATTAGCCATTTTCTGTTACTTGTTATAGACAGATGTTACAATAATGAAAAAGACAATACTGTTCTCTCTAAAGAAACAGAGATTTAACATCAACAATCCCGATACATAAACTTTTCCCACATTGCACTGCCACTTCAATCACAGAAATTGACTGATCTAGGAAATTAATAAAATTATTCCATAATGACTAATAGTTCACTATCCTGTATAAAATTATTATTTGGGTCAAATACTTTACAGTAGTGCAAGGTGTTAAAATATTTAATTGGAATTAGTGTCAAAACAATTCAATGGAAATTAGCAATAAGTATATCTCTATCACTTCATATAATTTCAGTTATTTTTATGATTCAGTATAAAGTAGTATTGGCCGTAGAATCAGTTCAATTCATAGTAGCTTCAATTTTGCTATATAATGTAGCTCATTTATGGTATGCTGGCATTGTTGGCTGTGCCAACATTTTATTGCCCATCTCTGGCTGCCCTTAAGAAAATGCCTTCTTGAAATGTCACAGTTCAAATGTAATAGGCAAACCCACAATGCCAACTGGGAGGGAATTCTAGGATTTTGACACAGCGCATTTGCAGGTGACGGTTTTCCATGTATTTGCTGGCCTTGCATTTATAGATGGTAGCGGTCAGGAGTTGGGAAGATATTTCATCTCCAGTTTCAATGAAGGGCAGGGTTTTATAGGTCTTTATAGACAATGCTATTGATGGAATTATGCTGTAGCCACACCATCTAGAAACTCCTCCATTTCAGTAATCTTGCTAAGTTTTCTCCAGTTCTTCTTGTTCTTGTTAAGGCACTGGTAGTCACAGTCCAGTTTCTATATTCAACTGATCAGTAATTTTCAAACGTTTATGACACAACACTGAAAATTATTATGACCAATCCAATAGAGGCACAGCCAAAGTGTAAAATAACTTACAAAAGATATACAAAGTGATTTTACAGTCACAAGGAAAAGACGAAAAATGTTCTCACTTTAATCTTTCAAATATCTGTTATCCTTACTTGACAGCAAGGTGCTCTGTATTAGAACTGTTGGATGAGGACAGGTTGCTCTGTTCTTTACTGAAATTTACTGAGTACACAAGTAAATGAAAATAAGACAACTTTTTTAACATGCAGCTGCCTCAAGTAAGCCTGCTGAGATCAATCACTTGTAACAGAACAGTTTTCACAGGTACCTCACAAGCTATTTCCATGAAAGTAAATAGATGTACAGAATGGAACCAAAGGCCTTGATTAACACGAACTATCATATCATCGCGTTGCCTTCCTGAAGATTAATAATCAGAATAATACAAGGCTGTAATACTGTGGAGAGGGCAACATCAGAAACCATGACAGTAAAGCACCATCAGTTCATCAACACCTGAAACCCAAAATGTTTTACTATGACCAAAAACTTTTAAATCTGTTCTTCTTCCATTTACCTTTATGGTCAGTAGAACACACAGTTGACTGCAATGAACTTCATGAAAATAGAAATTACATGGATCACCAATATTTAATCTTAAGAATGTCTCCAACATGGAGCAATGCTAACATTTAGTGTGATAGCTTCTAAATAATGATCCTACATTAAAAAATTAGGTTAATTCATGATTCAAGATATTAAACAAAAAGTGATTCTAAGTGCTCTTGTCCTCTGCAATAACCAGATGGAGGACAGACCTTAAAACAGCACGAATACGTACTTTTCCTTGGGAGACTCCGATTCTTTCTTTAGAATGGGAAACAATGGTTCACTTTCCACTCCCTGCTCTTGCTTCAGTTTGTAAAGCTTCTGACGCAATACATCCTGATGCCTTTCACGTAGTCTGAGGGAAACATCACAAATACAAAATATGTAACAGTTCATTCAAATAAGGTAATAATATAGAGGAAATAAAGGACAAATCTGTGACCTTTTAATATCTCATTAGGATAAAAAATAAAAGAAACAGAAGTTGTGACTGCTCTACTGTCTAATAAGATCACAGCTGGTCTTCGCCTCATCACTATCTACTTCATTTTGACATCTCAATTCCCTTAAAATCCAACATTTATGGATCTCTGCCTTGAATATCCATAATGCTATTTGGAGTACAGAATTCCAAAATTCCCAGCCATCCGAATGAAGAAATTTCTTCTCATCTTAAGTGACTTGATATTTATCCTGGGATAACGACATTAGTTCTAAACTTTCCATCCAAATTCTGTACTGTCAATCCTTGAAGAATCTTATAGGTTGCAATGAGGTAATCTTTCATTCTTCTAAGTTTCAGAGTGCAGGCCCACTAGAGTTAATCTCTATCATAAAACAACCACTTTAAAATAAACCTTTTTTGCCTCACCTCGGAGGCATTATATCAATAGAGACCAAAACGGTTCATGGTACTCCAGATGGGATCTCACTAAAGCTCTGTATAATTGCAGCAAGACTTCACTTTTTTCTCACTATTTGTCTTCCTTAATGCTTGCTGTACTTGTATGTCAGCAAAATATTGCCTTTTTAAGTTCATTCAAATCCTTCCAGTCATCACCACTTAATAAATTCACACTATTTGAAAAATACTCATTTTCTCTTCCTCCTGCCAAAATTGACAACATCACATTCCTTCACATTTCACGCTTTGCACTGTCATAAAACATGGATGCATTAACACTGCCTCCAGGATGACAATATAAATTATTTAATAGTTGACGTTCCAGAAGTGAGCCTTGTAGCACCACACTAGTCAGTCAGTCAGTCAACAGATTGCCAACCTGTAAGTGCTCCTTTTATTCCTTCGCTGTCTTCCATCTTTTCAACAATTCTCTATTCATACCAGTATATACACACAATTCCACAAGCTTACCTTATGCAACCTTTTGTGCAGCACCTTATGAAATGCTTTCTGAAGATCCAAACATACTACACCCACTAGTTCCCCATTACATACTGTGATTGTTAAATCTGTTAAAGGTTTGGGATGTAATTAACATAATTTCACTTTTGTAAAACCACTTCTATTTGGTGTAATCAAGTTATAATTTTCCAAGTGTCTGTTACCACGTCTTCATAATGGCCTCCTGTATTTTTCTGATGACTAATGTCAGGTTAATTGGTCTGTAGTTCGCTGTTCTTTCTCTCCCTTTTTGTTTTAAGCAGTAGCATTATATTTGCCACTTTTCAATGTTTGGACAATTCCAGAATTTTGGAAATCATAATCACTGCATAATATCTGTAGCATTTAAATGCACAACTTAAAGCACTGAGTGATAACAAAATTATTTGTGACATGGAAGATAAATACAATTAAAGGCTATTTGTTTACCTTCACTTTGTGGAGGCTAAATACCGAGACATGTCGCGCTGAACAGCCTGTTACAGTTTCTATGTAGGACGGCCAGTGGACAAAAAAGCTTGCTGATTGTCTTTGTCTAAGTGGAGTTGGGCAACTTGGGCAACATTCCAGAATCCATATCTCACGTACAAGGGCTCCATTGCCTGTACGTTTGTAATATTCACATAGATACATGCTGATATGTACCATTCAATGGCAACAATACTTCAAAAATTAGAGTTCTACCAAGCAGTACCATTACAACCACAGAAAAGCAGATCGGAATTGAGCCAAAAATTTCATTCCCATAAACCAACGTCCCCTCTGAAATGCACTGTTGCACAGCAATCCAAAACACTTTGCAAAGCCCCACTGTGTGCAAATAAAAAGGAAATAATACTCATTATGAATCCTTTTGTTTTTTTTTTTTAAAATCGGCCCTCTGCCCCTTGTGGTCAATCCTACCTGGCTCTGGCCATATATGCCTTGAGTTGTTGCAATAAAGATTCCCAATAGCCAATGTCCAGATTTGAACCACCAGTTTTGATCTTTGCCTCAATGTTCAGGTACAATGCTTGAAGCTGGTTGTAAGTTTTCCCTTTAAATACCGACTGGACATCAGTGCTCACTGAAGTGTTGATTCCTTCTCTCCTCTCTCCTGGAGAAGAATTTAAAGAAAAACAGTGAATTAGAAACAGTATTCTACAATCATTCAGCTTTGAACAAAATTCAAACGTGACCAATTCTAGAGGAAGAAACATATCTGGACACTGCCACTGAAATTTGTAAACAAGCACTTATTCAATATGGAACTACTATCATTTAGTAGAATGTCCACGCCTAGAAGCCATGCATGATAAGTCAAACTTAATGTTTTTGTTACTGTACTACTTGTTTTCCATTCTGTGCTGAAGGTATACCTGCATCACAGCTGCAAGATCCCATTTGAGGACTCAATGATCCATTTATTTTCAATATCCACCTGACCATTATAGTAGGTACAGAGAAGCAATCGTATAAAACTAAAGATGATTTTTACATGGTATCATACCTTACAAGGCCTATGAACCACATTTTGCAAAATGCGCATGTCATATGATATGATCACCAAGATCAACAGACATTTTAAGCCAGGGCTTCTCCAAAGTGGGGGTCAAGACACCTAGTGTTTTGCAAGGTTTGCAAGGCCACTATGCAATTTTGACAGTTATATCAGCTATTCTCAGTCAATGATCACACCAATTTTCAAGTCTCAAAATGGGGCCACAGTGGGAAAAAGTTTGGGAAGCAATGTTTCAAGTACTAAACAGAATGCAGCAGCTCAAAACTGTTATATCTTTTGCTTATCTATCCATTTGAGTTACAGAAATGCTCAAAGTAAACAGCAGTATGGAGTAGAACTCTTATTATAGAAGAGTCAAGCATCAAAGGACACAGATTGTAGGTGAATGGCAAATGAAGTAACATGACACAAGAAATATTTTTCTTTTACTATCCTAAAACTAAATCTGGAAGTTTGGAGAGAGTTAAAAGTACAATTTTTGTCCAGAGATCATGAGCAGCCTGCTCTGAGACAGGTTACACATTTAAAGTTCAATTTATCTGCAACCAACTGATTACGTTCCAGTCATTGCTAAGTCCTAAAAGCCTATTCATAGAGTCATAGAATCGTACAGCACAGAAACAGGCCCTTCAGTCCAACTTGTCTGTGTACCAGACATCCCAATCTGACCTAAGTCCCATTTGCCAGCATTTGGCCCATAGCCTTCTAAACCCTTCCTATTCATATATCCATTCAGATGACTTTTAAAATGTTGTAATTGTACCCACTTCCACGTCTTCCTTTGGCAACTTGTTCCATACATGCACCACCCTGTGTGAAAAAGTTACCCCTCAGGTCCTTTTAAAATCTTTCCCCTCTCACATTAAACCTATGCTCTCTAGTTTTGGACTCCCCCCACCCTAGGAAAAAGACCTTGGCTATTCACCCTATCCATGCCCCCCATGATTTTATAAACTTCTATAAAGGTCAATCTTTAGCCTTTGACGGTCCAGGGAAGAAAAGCCCAGCCTATTCATCCTCTCCCTATAATTCAAACACTCCAGTCCCGGCAACATCCTCGTAAATCTGTTCTGCACCCTCAAGTTTAACAACATCTTTCCTATAGAAGAAGGGCAACCAGAATTGTATGCAATATCCAAAGTCCTGCCACAACATGATATCCCGACTCCTATACTCATGTTCTGACCAATGAAGGCAAGTACGCCAGATGCTTTCTTTACCACCCTGTCTACCTGCGACTCCAGTTTCAAGAAACTATGCACCTGCATCCCTAAGGTCCCTCTGTTTGGCAACACTCCCCAGGACCCTATCATTTACTGTATAAAGTCCTGCCCTGGTTTGCTTACCAAAATGCAACAACTCCCATTTCTTTAAACTAAACTCCATCTGCCACTTCTTGGCCCATTTGCCCATCTGATCAAGGTCCCATTGTACTCAGATAATCTTCTTTAAGATTCACTACACCACCTATTTTGGTGTCATCGGCAAACTTATTAACCATTCCTCCTAATCTTATATAATATAAAGACGAAAAAGCAGCGGACCCAGTACCAATCATTGTGGCACACCGCTGGTCACAGGCTTCCAACCCGAAAGGCAACTCTCTACATCTAACCGCCAAATCAATTTTGTATCCAATTGCCTAGCTCCCCCGGATTCTATGTGATCTAATCTTACTAACCAATCTACCATGTTGGTCAGTCTTGGGAGCCATGTAAGTCAGAACAGAGAGGTAAATCTTGAGATAGCCTGGAACAAGACCTACATTGACTTGAACTAGTATTGAAAATTGGTTAAAAATCTAAAGAATGCAGAACCCTGTAGATTATTGCAGCTTGCTAGGATGATATCATAACTATAAATTAGAAGGAGGACAGAAAAATGGGAAGTCCGAGAAAGAGAGAATGAAATATTGAACTCAAAGCCATGTAAAGCAACAGCATGTGTTCTGTGTTGCTATTCTTGAATACACTTAATATTTGACTGGGTCTAAGAACTCATCCTTGGCATAGAATACAACATGATTAACATGTCTACATGATTACAAAAATACACTTCCCAACAGTCCCTTCAAAGAAAACAAAATGGATCTGATTGTACTTCCCAGCAACAAAATCCTTCACTGAGTGAACAATGAACTGTATTGGAGACCTTTATTCAGTTTGTTTGGTTCTCTCTAGCCCTCAAGCCTTATATTTTGTCCTTGCATTGCTTCTGACTGTTTCATACAGGTTCTTTCCCTTTGTAATCATGATGTGCATGTGGTGTAGCTCTAAGCTACTGCATATAATTTCTGCCATTGGAGTCTAAATGGAAAGCACTGATACAAAGAAAAATAAAATGTGCTGGCATTAGCAGTACTTCTCCGTCACTGAGAGACCTTGCTGCAAGTGGTTTCTCATACTGTGCTTTGCTGCATGAACTCCTTAACCATTGATTGGTGTCCTGATCGCAACCTGCTCCACTATAAGTACTGGTTTGAAATTCTAGCTCAAATACTTTAAGCTTTTTTTTTGTTCCAAACATTCAGGAGTTGGTGCATTGTTTCTCTGTATGTCAGAGTGCAAATAGATAGCAGTTGGAATCATAAAATGGAGAATAAATGTATCAGGAAATTTAGAAAAGGAGATGAGCTTTAGGTTGGTTCAGGGAGGCAGACTGAACTTGGAACTTGCACTAGGAACCTGGACGAGGTATAAGTTGGAGAGCGCAAACATGCAGAGGCTGGAAGGCTAGGGAGTTCATACATATTGAAGAAAGTGTCCATGGCACGAGCATGCATGTCTAAACTGGGAAGTGACAGTTTTAAATACAAAGCATACTTAGTCTGAGAGGGTGGGGGTAGAAATAATAAAATCAGTTAAAAAATTGTCAACCTTTCTAAAGCAACAACGCGTAGACAAGGAAAACAAAACTCCCTGGGTGCCGCATGACACGAATTAAGTTTGGAGATGGACAAATACAAACACAGTAACCAACCGTTACAACTAACATACTGTTTAACACACAGAAATAACAGTTTCATTTGGTAGAGAATAAAACACAGTATTTTGCATTATTATAGGAAATTTTTAACAACCTTCCTGTACTGCAGGGAAATTCCTCAGACATGACTAGATCAGCCATCACCCTAGATGATACAACTTTTCCTGTGGATAATTCCTAATTATTAAATTATTATTATTCGATTAACATTCTACAGTCTAATCTGTTACAGGTTTCAACTGGCTTTAAAGTCAACCTTCAAAGCTAGAGGTCACGCAGTTGGATAAAAGTTTTCAGCCAAGAGAGGTATTTTCTTTTCCCCATTTAGATCCCAAATTTACTGGTGAGTAAATGAAACAGCTCACCAAATCTTGTTCTAATTTTAGTTTTCTGTAAATGATTGTTTTGTTGACTCTTGAAAAGTGGTTAAAGTCTTTTCCATTTAACATTGTACACAAATTCGAGGTAAAGTGAATGACAAGTATACATAGAAGTAACAAATGAGTAAATCATATAAATTAAATAATTAAAACTCATTAAGAGTGACAGTTCTGATGGAATGTCAAGGTTGCAGTATGTGGGAAGTCCAGGATGTCAACATGATCCAGGACAAACAGGTCTGCAGTATGAGTTTGAAGTTCAAGCAGATTCAGCTTAGTTCGAGCTAGATGCCGAACAACAGACATTATGATGCGTAAGGGAGGGGACGGGGGGGGAAGCTTAACTACATTCTTTGTACCAGGAGGCAGTCATACTGCTTAGGTCATCAGATTCACAGACGGGAGGGTGCTACAGAGTGAGGCAGGTAGGGAGCCAAAGGGCAAAAGTGTCAGTACTTGCCCAATAGGTCTGAAGTTCTCTCAGCCTTTCTCAGCTGATGGAAAACAAAAAGTGTATGCAAATTGGTCTTGGCAGGATATGCTGAGGCCTCAATTTTTTACAATTTACATAGTGATACCCCATCTAGGTCATTTAAGATAGGTATGAAGAAGTTACAGATGGACATAGGTTGAGTGAGGGACAAGGATCTGGTAAATGGAGTATAATATGAGAAAATGTGAAGTTGTTCACTTTGGCAGGAAAAGTTTAAAATAAAAGCAGAGTATTATTAAAATAGAGACCCACATAGAATTCTGAGCTGCAGAGGGACGTAGGTGCTCAAGTCACTACAAATTAGTATGCAGGTACAATATGTATTCAAGAAATCCTTTATTACACGAGGACTTGAACATAAAATAAATATTATAATGGGAACAGGCAATGCCACATCTTGAATAATGTGTGGAGTTTTAATCTCCTTATTTGAGCAAGGATATAACTGCGTTGGAGGTGGTTCAGAAGAAGTTTACTAGACTGGTACTTTGAATGATTGGTTGCATAAGGATACGTTATATAGGCTGGACTTGTTTCCAAAAGGAGTTTGGAAGAGCGAGAGGTGACTCCACTGAATTGTACAAAATGGTCCTGACAAGGTGGATGTGGATACTTCCTCATGGATCAGAACTAGGGCATTATTTTAAAATTATTTGTGTTTTATTGCCCTTTCAGAACGAGAACCTTTTTCTCCCACTGGTTGTGCGACATTTGAACAGCAACCATCTTGAAGAGACGGGCGGATAGATCTGGTTAGGTAGGGGAAATCAAGGGTTAACCATGAGTCGATGGGGATGTGGAATTCTAAACAAAACAGATCAGCATGATCATATTGAATGGTGGAGCAGGGTCAAGGGGCCAAATAGTCTATTACTGCTCAAATTTTTGTATGAAATCTATATTAATAGCAAAACTTGTATAATTTGTGTGTCTGGGAAGGTAGCTAGGTATATTTATTTATGCACAAAGTTTTAGCACTGCAAATCTGCAGCATAACTGGTTAATGAAAAAAAAAATCAGCTTAAATAAATTCAAACTGTCCACTCTCTGAATATACTCCATTATTTTCCGTTTACCTGGTCCTTTTCCAGAAGCTTCAAGCTTTTTCAGGTTACTTATTTCATCCTCAGTAATAGTTGTCATATCTCTCCAGAAGTCAGCATTCTTTCCCTGCTCCAACTCCATATAAACCTTAGGAAAATGATAAAAGTCAGTCAGTCAGTCTCAAAGATCTTCAACTTGCATATGGTTAGACCTTGCATAATGTTAATGTTTCTACTTCTAAATCACGTAACAGTCTAATTTGCTGAAGTGTTTTCCTTTGAAGTTTATCTACACAAAGTGTTCAAAATATTATTAACACTGTCCAATTAATATTTCCACAGTAACTCAATCCAAAGGGATACACACCCATCAGTAATGTGTAATCCTTGCCAGTGAATGTTAAAACAGAGCCAACCACTGCACACCTCATGACTAAACAGAAACCTGCCCTCATTAATTTTTCACATACCTCCACTTCCAATAGGAATGAATTCCATAGAAATAAAACGAGTCATTTTCACTGTGGGGTAAAACAGGCATCATTGCTGGGGCCCCAGCTGCTCATAACATACATCAACAATTTGGCTGACAGAATCAACATAATATTTCCAAGTTTGTTGATGACACAAAACTAAGAAATTGAGAGAGGTGAAAGGGAAGAAACTTCAAAGCAATTTAGTTGAGTGAGTGAGCGAATAAATACTTGGCAGATGCATCGTAATGTGATTAAGTATGCAGTTAACCACTTTTGCATTATTTAAATGTTGGACAGGTGACGAAAAGCAGTGGACCCAGTACCGATCATCATGGCACACCGCTGGTCACAGGCCTCCAATCCGAAAGGCAACCCTCTACATCTTACCTAAGCTGGAGGAAGCACAGTTACTAAAATCTTATTGAGTGAGGTTATTTTCAAGGATGACCTCAAGTAAGGCCAGCGAGGGAGTGATCTGGACTCAAGGCACAACTATCAATGATAGGACACATCTAGCTTTTCTTCCACAACCCTACAAAATAGTTCCCAACAAATAAATCCAAATGCCTTTTGAAATTTCCCAAGGAAGCGGTTTCCACCACTCTTTCACATAATGTGTTCCAGATCACCATAATCCTGTGTGGAATAAATTTGTTTCTCTCGTTCATTTTTTAAATCTATGACCTCTACCGACTTACTTGCTTGGGAAATAGGTTTCATCCATCTTCATCTATCAAAACCCCTCAATGTGGGGCACTTCTTTTACATTACATTTTGATCAAATCTGCTATGGGGACAAAAATCCCAGTTTATCAAATCTCCCCACATAACTGAAGCCCCCTAACTTCTGGTTATTCTCCACTGTACCACGGCTGAGACTTTGGCGTTCTTTCTTAACAGTAGTATCCAGAATTGTATACAATATTTCAGATGAGCCTAACCAATGACTTCTAAAGCTTTAGCAGTGACTTCCTTACTTTTGTATTACATCCCTAACCACAAAGCCAAATAACCGATATAGTTTAAGTACATTATCAACCTGGCATACCACTTTCAAATGCAGCCCAGGCCACTGTTCTCATCCACTCAGAATAATACCATTTAGAGGATACTAACTCTCCACAATGTTCCTTTTCAAAGTGAATTATTCACACTTGTATAGATTAAACTGCATTTGCCAATTTCACTAATTCATAACCTCTCAAAGTCCACGACTATCCACACTCTATTTATATTTTTGCTCATTTTTTGATTCATCTGCAGACTGTGAAACTGTACACAAGGTTTGCCCCAAGTGCTTCTTTCTTCAAAACAAAAAGGTCGGTTGTGGTAACTTATCCCAATCTTCATGAAAATCCATACATATCTAATTTCTTCATTTTGCTTCAGAGAACTTCGTCATAATTACCCAACAGTGGTCTCGTCATCATCACTGACATTCTCTCGCAGGGGAGAATGACTCTGCCACTCAGGGCAAGTCCATAGGTGGCTGTCAATACCGATGCACCTATTGCAGGTGCTGTAACACTTGGGGCAGGTGGTGGTCAGGGCACTTTTGCTGCTTTTGCCTGGCTTTTCTCCCCCAACAGCAAGTCTTGAGATGCTCGACACCTTCCTGGATACTCCTCCTCCACTTTGGACAGTCTTGGGCCAGTGATTTCCAGGTGTCTGTGGGAATGCCATTCTTCACCAGTGAGGCCTTGAGGGTATCAGTGAAATGCGCCCTCTATCCACGTGGGGCTCACCTGTTGGTTCAAAGCTGGGAGCACCTTCTTGGGGAGTGTCAGTCATGTGGACGATGTGCCCAATCCATTATAGCCGATCAAAAGTGGTCAGTGCCTCAATGCTGGAGATGTTGGCTTGGTTGAGGATATTGGTGTTGTTATGTCTTTCTTCCCAGCAGGTTTGCAGGGCCTTGCACAGGCAACATTGGTGTTACTGCTCCAGTGCCTTGAGGTGCCTACTGTAGACAGCCCATGTCTTAGAGCCATATAGGAGGGTGGGAACCATCACAGCTCTGTAAACCACGATCTTAGTGTCAGATCTGACATTGTTGTTCTCAAACATCCTTTTCCTCAAGTGGCCAAAGGCTGCACTAGCACACTAGAGGCGATGCTGGATCTCTTCTACAATAGTTGTTTTGGTCCACACGACATTTGAGGTATTGGAAGTGGTCAATGTTCTCTGAGGCCTCCCCATGGACCTTGATGATCGAGTGTTTACTCCACAATGCCAGGCCACTGGCATGGAGGACCTTTGTCTTGCGGATGTTCAGGGCGATACGCATGGTCTCACATGCCTCCATAAAAACGTGCTGACAACAGTCTGGAGTACGACCTCTGAGACTGCACATACACAAGTATCATCTGTGTACTGTAGCTCCACGGCACTAATTGGGATCACTAGTTGGAGTAGTTTTCCGAGATAGTAGGAACTGCAGATGCTGGAGAATCCGAGACAACAAGGTGCAGGGCTGGATGAACACAGCAGGCCAAGCAGCATCATAGGAGCAGAAGAGGAGTTTTCTGATGACTGACATTAGACTGACTGGCTAATTGTTACCTGGTTTATCATTCTTCCACCTTTTCTAAAAATCATGCAAGATGGTCCCTGGAAACATTCCCATATTCAAGGAGAACTGAGAGATTGTGGGCAGAGTTTCTGCTAGCTCCACCTTAGTCACCTGAAATACAATCTATATGGATCATGTGATAATATTTAGGACCACCTTTTTATACAAAACAATCTCTTTTCTCTCTTTATTCCAACTTTAGCTTTATGCTCTTTTATAACGAAGGCTGGGAAATTCTCATTCATTAACTCAGGTATCCAACTTTCCACAAAAATTCTCTCTTTTTAGTCCCCACTGAGTTCCACAATTCCTTTTCGTTTTATAGATTTATAAAAGATTTTGATTCTTTTTGCCTTTCTTAGATCTTCTTCCGATTTTCTCTGCACTGTTTTATTCTGCGTAGTTTTTTTTTTTTACTGCACACTGTATTTACTGCACCTCACAGATGGAGTAATACAGAGATGATCACTTAAGCCGCCTGTTCTTTAATCTGCTTCCTAGCTCTAAAACAAAATTCCCATTTTTGTCATTGGCTCCAACATGGATTATAACTCTGGCTATGCTAGGTATTATTTAAAATCAAATTGTCCATGGATGTTATGATATCTTTGGAGTGGATTGGCCTTGAACCCAGGCCTCCTAGCTCAGAGGGAGGGACACTATCAACACACCATAGGAGTCCTCCTTCCAGAATATCCTGCATCTGTTCAGAGATATATTTTTACCCTCACACCAGACAGGAAACACCATTCACAATTCACAACTGTGGTCATAGAACCTTTGACTCTCCTATAGAAAAAGAAGTTCTCCAGCTTCTTGTAAACCCTGGGCAGCTGAGTTTCTTAAGGTGCCATGATTTGCTTTTTCTTAAAAAAAAAGAAGTCTTCCTCTCTTCCCATGTTTTGGTCCCTTCTCAGGCTGACAGCATAACAGGAAATTCAATTTTAAACAAATTTTAAAGTATTCAACCTGCTCAAGATAAATTACTGGGAGGGCAAGAGGGATCTGAAACATCTACACAATAAAGCCACTACATTTCAAGGCAGTTTTGTTAAACTTGCAAACCTTCAGCCATTACTGCCTCACTCTTTTCTTCTCCAGAATTCTTTCCCTTCATATCTTCAAAAGTCTCATGAATGTTGAGCTATTCATAAACTTAAGTTTACCAAGTGTTTTGAACAATTTACACATTGTGAAAATTCAAATTTAGTGCAACTGTGACATCTAGTGGCAGTACCTCAAACATACATCTTTAAAAGTTCTGAGCATCAATAATTTAACACACAAGAAATCTGAAACATCCTCACAGTCAAATTTTGACAGTGCAAGCTGGCTGAGAGGCAAGTTAATTGAATACTTTTATCTTGATTACTTGTCAATGCTGGAGCTGATCAGCTCTCAGACTGAAAAGAGCCAATAAATTGTCATCTTCCAACATCAGGACTTTGCTAGTTGACTCTCAATATTGAGACAACTACAATTTATAAAAAATGTTGATGTGTGTTATTTTAAATTGAATTGGTTCAAATCTGCCCCTATTTTGTTAAAATTATTTAGTACTGTCACATTTCCCCAAGCAACAAAATTTGAAGCAAAGTGGAGCAGGCTCCAAGGTGTTACAAAGTAGTCACTGTATGCAGTTCTCTAATATTACTACAGTGTGATAGCTACAGTTAGAAGTAGCTGTGAGAAACTTGCTTTACTTTTAGCATTTGGAGTAGTCAGAGGGCTGAAATACTTTTCAATGTCAAAGCAAGCATTCTGAAAACAAAATTTTGCTATTTCTCTTATAAATCCTCAGGGAACACACGCATCACTGGCAATGTCGACATCTATTAGTCATTCGTAGCTGACGGTGGTGAATCACCTGCAGTTTGATACAATTGAGCAAACTAAATTAGAACGTTAGTGGGAACACCACCACCTGCACGTACCCCTCCAAATCACTCACCACCCTGACTTGGAAATATATCGCCGTTCCTGGGTCAAAATCCTGAAATTCCCTCCCTAAGGGCACCGTGGGTCAACCTACAGCACATGGACTGCAGTGGTTCAGGTCGGCAGCTTGCCACCACCTTCAAGGACAACTGAGAATGAGCAATAAATGCTGGGCATCCAGTGATGCCCACATTCCGTGAGTGAATTAAAAAAAAAGGAATCTTCAATAATACAATCTTAAGACATCACCAAAGAAGAGGATATGAAATGGTACACACCCTTATATCTTCAAGAAGATCTTCCAAATCTGACGCAGTCAGCCCATTTAGAAACGTGTAAGGTTCGTGCATTTCTACAGCTAGATCATCATCTTCTGCACTGATGTATTTTGCAAGAAGGTCAATTGGCTTGGCTCTGCCTCCTAAAATGCGAATCTTTGATCTAAAACAAGAACAAATTGACAGCTTTCTTCTCACTAACATAAATACATCAACATGAAGTATGCTACTACTCAGACTTACTATTCTTCTATATTGCACACCGTGTAAAAGTTGGATAGAATTACCAGATGAAATAAATTAACAGATTGCAGGAACAAAGCATACATTACACAAACAAACTTCTTTCCTAGCCTCCCCAGAGGAATTCATTCAGGTCTGTATAAATAGACGAAATTAACACTCGCATTTTATACAGGATAAACATTTAAATGAATTTTGAGTTTCAGTTGAACATCTTTACTAATTATTCAAGGTGACTGGTTTAAAAATGTAAATCTCATCTCATCCAAGTTTCAAAAATTCAAAATTCAAGTTTTCAAAAATTCCTTTGGGTAATAAATACTGTCCCGGTTCATGAAACCCACATTCCACGAATAATTTCTTTTCAAAGAAGTGGTTTATAGCTTGTGCACACATGCATTCAGCAGAAGTCACATAGGTACCAATGGGAGCAGGTACTTCAGTTTATTTTATTTATATTTTCTCCAGGGTCAACAAGTGTTGAATACCTCAGCAAAAAGAAAGGCATTTAGAATGCTGGAAATTTGAAATAGAAATAGAAAGTACTGGAAACACTGAATAGATCAGGCAGCATCTTTGGAAACAGAAACAGAGTTAACACTTCAGGTTGACCTTCCATCAGAATGCAGTTCTGGCAAAAGGCCCTGACCTGAAATGTTTGTCCCATTTTTCTCTCCTCAGCAAATGCTGCCCATCTTGCTGAGTATTTTCAGCATGTTCTGTTTTTATTGAATTCTTTAGCTGAGAGAGATTCAGTAGCAGATCAAACAGCAAATTTATCATTAAGCATCAGAATTGATTATTAAAATAAATGAGCCAAACAAAAATAAAACATCACTTAGATTTAATTTTGAATAATTCAGCAAATTTGCCTCAAGTTGTAGTATTTTAAAAACAAACGTACATGTGTGCAAATGTTTGGACTTCCTGTAAGTATTTTTTTTTAAAATAACACACTAACTCACTAGGAACAACGTCACTTTCCTCTCTGGAAATAGAGGTTACAATGCCCAGTACAGAACAAGGTGATATTCCAATAGAGGCAGAACTACATTCTTTTCAATCTAGAGAATATGGAATAGTTTGTCTCAATACACCTTGCCAAATATGAAACTTGTTTTGTTTACCTCAATTTAGCTTGCTGTAAATGGAAATAATCCTCTTGTTCTGCCCAGGTCTTAAAGTGCTCAGCTTCCTTCTCGCGTTGTAACATCTCCAGCTCCTGTTCCCGTAGGCACTTTTCCCGCTCTCGTTCCAGACGTAGTTGTTTCACCTACAGCCATAAACAGAATGTGTAAGAACTCTTTGCCAAAAAGCACATTGTTTAATTTGGCCAAAAGATTTTGTTGCACAATCAAACAAAGGCTTTTAAAATTAATGATCCAAATTATGGCTCATAAGTTAGCGCTTTTCTTTAATTCATTGATGAAAGGTTTATCGAATGTGCATTAGTCATTTACAGGACAAGCATTTATCAGTTTTATGTTTGTTTACATTAGAAGTGTAAATTTGTTCCGTAAATCAGTTCTGTGTTTCCACTTACTGTTTCTCACAAACTGTTTCTACAAAATTGATACTAGTTTGTCAACAAGTTTAATTTTGTTGATAAAAAAGTTAACAAATTTTTAACGTAAAAAAAATGCTGACAAGCCTGAAATCCAGGAAATAGGATTGACAAAACAAGGGTTTTTCCTAAGGTTTTGGAATAGATTTGTAGCTCGGGTTGTGGGTGTTGACGTTGGTTGGCTCGCCGAGGTGGTTTGTTATTCCACAAACGTTTCGTTACCATGCTGGGTAACATCATCAGTGCAGCCTCCAGTGAAGCGTCAGTGTGTTTTCCCACCTGGTTTTTAAACTCTGGGGTCCATTGAGCTGGATTGCCTCAATTCCGGTTTTCCTTCGTAGTGGAGTGTATATGGGGTCGAGTTCTATTTGTTTATAAATGACTTTCTTGGTGGCGTGCCAGGCTTCTAGGAATTCCCGTGCCTGTCTCTGCTTAGCTTGTCCCAGTCGAATTGGTAGTTCTCCTCATCCACGTGGATTGAGATGAGCGAGTATTGGTCGTGTCTTTTTGTAGCCAGTTGGTGTTCATGTACCCTTGTTGTTAGTTTCCTTCCTGTTTGTCCGATGTAGCGTTTCTCACAGTCTCTGCGAGGGATCTTCTAGATGGCATTGGTCCTGTCCATGGCGGGAGTGGGTCTTTAGTTCGGGTGAGCAGTTGTCGTAGGGTTGATGTGGGCTTGTGTGCCACTCTGATGCCCAGCGGTCGTAGGAGTCTTGTGGTTAGTTCCGATGTGTTCCTGATGTAGGGTCGTGTGATGAGTGTGTCGGGGCGTGTGGTATCTTCCTGATGTTGTTCGTGTAGACATCTTCTGACCCAGTTTTTTGAATATCCATTATCCTTGAAAACCTGGAAGAGGTATTCTTCTTCCTCTTGGCATAGTTCTGTGTTGCTGCAGTGTATTGTCACCCATTTAAATAGTGTTCGCACACAGCTTCGTTTGGGTGTGTTGGGATGGTTACTGTTGAAGTTCAGTACCTGGTCCGTGTGTGTGGCCTTTTCAATACACCTATGCTTTTCTGACCTTGGAAAGATGGTGAGTAACTTTAGAATCACAGAATCACACTGCCTCACAGCACCAGGGACCCTGGTTCAATTCCACCCTTGGGCAACTGTCTATGTTGAGTTTGCACATTCTCCCCGCGTCTGTGTGGGTTTCCTCCTGGTGCTCCGGTTTCCTCCCACAGTCCAAAAATGTGCAGGCTAGGTGGATTGGTCATGCTAAATTGCCCATAGTGTTGAGGGATGTGTAGATTAGGTGGGTTATAGCGGGATGGGTCATGGGTGGGATGCTCCGAGTGTCTGTGTGGACTTGCTGGTCCAAAAGGCCTGTTTCCACACTACAGGGATTCCATGATTCTATGAACTTTCATTTTCTACTTTATAACTGGTCCTCATGTTTACAAACAAGATATATTCTAAACCAAACTCTAATTAGCTCTGTCCAGTTTCCAACATTTACCAATGGCAGAAACAGTTTTGATATCTTTCAGTGTAGCTCATGGCTAACTAAGAAGAAATTTCTCCTGTTGATGGCAATTAAATAACCTTCTAATATTATCTTAAACAAACAGAAGCAAATAAAAGAAACATGTAGCAAAAGACAATCAATAAATGTGTTAAATATTTATGGAATCACAGAAAAGCTGCATTGCAGAAGGGGCCATTTTGGGCCATCATGACTGCACCAGCTCTCCAACATTCTCCTGCTTTCATTTGTAGTGTATATGGAATCTCAGAAGATGCCGGATAACATGCCACACAACCAATTTGAAGGAAATTATAAACATGCAATAAAAGGGATACAAATAATGTGGATATAAAGCTGGCCAAGTCATAAGAAACAGAGATTAATGGTCCATAGATATTTTTCCACTGCAGTAAGGTTTGTAGTGGAGTTCCCAAGGGGTTGGTATTGGGATCTTTGCTTTTTCGGCAGTATATTAATCATGATGTGCAGGGTACAATTTCTGACTTTGCAGATGACAAAACTTAGAAGAACTGTACTAAACAGCAGAAAAAAAAATTTGGAGCAGTCACTTAATGAGAAATGTTGTTTCATATGAGGGGAGTCTCTAGCAAGCGATGTTCTCATTTCAGGTAACAAGATTAAATCAATTTTATTTTAAGGAACGCACTACAGACTATATACTGAATTAGTTACTCTTCTCAATAAAAACATCCCATGAACTAACTCTCAAACATTCAGCAGTCAGTTACAACCATTATGAGAAAATGGCTGAGAAATGCATTTAGCTCAGTTGCAAACCACAAGGTACAGTTCCAACGGAAGATCGACAGATATTAAACCCATACTTTTTGCAATTCCAAGCGGTTGTCCTCTTGAATTTGCTTGTTTCTGTCCTTTAAATCTTTCTCAGCCAGGTGACTAATTCCTTTCTTTTCCAAAGCCTATAATGAAAGAAATGAAAAGTTAATTTTAATAAAGCAATAACACTTACTGAACCACAATCTATTCTGAACATGTGAAAAATCTATAAAATCAAAAATATGAACACAAAGCAGCAGCAGGCAATTCAGCCCTTCAAGTCTGCTCTGCCATTTGATATAATTATGGCTGATTGCGACCTCAACCCCACTTTCCTGCCTGCTCTCCATAACCCTCTACTTAAAAATCCATCCACCTCCTTAAAATGTACTTAAAAGTCCCCTTATCCCCTACATTCTGGGGTTCATGAATCTTCGAGAGAAGTAATTTCTCATTTCCATTTTAAATCTGGTACACCTTAATATAAAAGTATGACTTCTCATTCTAGATTGGATCGAGGAAATATGGTTTCTACATTCATTTTGTCAACCCCCACTTAAGCACCTTATATACCTCAATTAGAGGAGATTTCAGCCAATTAGAGCTCAAAGAAGCATTAATTTTCAACCAAAGCTCCTTCAGATCTGTTACAATGCAATGTTATCTAGGGACTGCTTGTGGCACAGTGATAGAGTCCCTCCCTCTGAAAGAGAAGACCCGGGCTCAAGTGCCACCTGCTCCAGGTGTGCATCACAACTTCACTGAACAGGTTGATTAGAAAATACCTACAATGTTATCGATCACAATTTTAAAAAGGTAAGTACCACTCCTGCAATGATGTGCAAATATTAAAAAACACCTTTAATGAACAATGTCTCAGCACATTTCACAGGAAAACAATCTGACACTGACCCACAAAGAAATATTAGGGTAGGCTACCTAAATCTTGGTTGTAGATTCTAAGGAATGACTTTAAAAGAGGATAGCTGAGTATAGAGATTTAAGGATGGAATTCTATCCTTAGGAACTAGACAGCCGAAGGCATAACCACAAACGGAGGTGTGAAGGAATTCACAATTGTCCACAAGGCCAGAGTTCAGGACAGCAAGATCTCAAAACATTTTATGGTTGAAGTTAGAGTTAGGAGGGGTCAATACCAATTCAATCACAAAGGTTGGGAATTTTAATAGAAGTAAAACATCCAACATCATAAAATCACTAACAATAATTTTGGTGCAGGCAGAAGTACTGCACTCTTGCTGGTACTATTAAACCTAGGTTCCACCTGCCTCTTCAAATGGATGCATAAGATCCCATAGAAGACTGGTTATCCTGGGCAAACTTCGTCACGTAACTATCAAAGCAAATTAACTGACATAGGGTAGATCGATTTCTGAGACAGTATAGCAAATAGAAGTAAATGTATGTATATAAATGCTAAGGAAGAAATTGCAGAGGTTGGGCAGTGTGGAATCTGGGAAAAATAAAGGTGTATGGAAAAGTCAGCCAAAACAACGCTTGGACAAAATTCCAAAACCTTTTTCTCAACAATCACAAGCTATCTTAACAAGACTTTAAATAAAGGTCTCAAATCTTCCAAGGTGCAAGTAAAAGATACTGTACCACTTTTCAAAGAGGAAGAGAAGAATTCTCCTGATATCCTGGCCTATATTTCACCCTCAACATCAATACAAATTAACTGTTCATTGTCACATTGCTGCTTGCAGGACTTATGCACGCAACTTAAGTGCTGTTACTTCCTACAGTACAACCATAAACAACCCTTTAGAAATGCTTCATTGGGTGAAAAGCATTTTCTAGCAGCTGAATTGTAAAAATTAGGACAATAAATGCAAGTTCCTTCATACCATGGGCAGAGTCTTGTTGCGGAGGCAAGGTTCTCCTCAGCTGGCTGGAGAGCTGTACTGACTCTTTAAGACCAGGCTCAAGAGGCATGCCCAGTGAGGGCTGCTGCCTGGGGGCTGGCAGTGCCACAGAGGTGGTAATGGCTGCTCCGAGGACAACAACCAGGACAAAGCTACCATATAAGTAATTTTTGTTTGTAGGCATGTGTACGTGTCAGGTGGGGTACTCTCAGTGGCAACCCCTGCTCCATGTCCAACCTCATGGCAAACACTAAACACTTTTGATCAAGGATCTTACACAAGCCCCAGCTTAATAAACTGCTTGAACAGGTTAACTTGTTGGGTACACTACGTAGTGACAGGCCTGCTTGCAGCTTGATTAATCCTTGGGGCAGTGGACTACAGCCTATGCCTAATCCTTAATTGGTCACTGAACAGCCTCAAATGGGGGCAGGGCAGGAAGGTCGTCCTTCTCACTCTAAATTTAATTCTGGTGGAGACAGGAAATTCTTCTCCTGCCCCCTGTCTAAGTGGCCTTCCTGCCTCTAAAGTTGCTACCTCTGGGAGCACAAGATATGTCCCATGAATCCTGAGCATCACCAAAAGGAAGAGCAGGTCAGCTTTAAGATTAGAAACAAAAACAGAAATTGCTGGAGAAGCGCAGCAGGTCTGGCAGCATCTGTGGAAAGGAATCAGAGTTAACGTTTCGGATCGAGTGACCCTTCCTCATAACTTTTAAGATTAGTGTCAACCCTGAACGAAGGGCGACTGACATTCAGCAGCAAAATGAGTGCGAGACAATCGTCGGTAACCTTATGCCAGATAAAGGTGCCGAGCAGGTTGTTGTCTCCGAATGGATTGTCCGCGTTCGTGTAGCCCATGTACTCCTCGCTCCAGCCCATTTTCTCCCTCTTCTTCCTTTCTTTGGCCTCTTTCCTAGCCAGGCGGCGGGCCCGCTTCTCCTCCGGGGTCTCGATGGCCTTGGCTAGTTCTCGCTGCTGCTTCTTCTCGGCTTTCTGCCTCAGCTTCTCCTGGAGGCTCAGCAAGCGGCTGACACTGCTCGGGCTGCCGGAGGGGGAAGAGGATGAGGAGGTAGGACGGGGAGAAGGCGGCGGTGAACGAGACCGGCTCCGGGATCGGGCGGGGGACGAGCGCGATTTTAACCATCGGTCGCCTCTGGGGGATGGGCTCCGGTTCCGGCTGCCGTTCCTCCTCCATCTCCCGTCCCGGGAAGCTGACCGGGAGCGGCGCCGCTTCTCCTTCCTCTTGCTGTGGCTGTGGCTCCGACTCCGGTCCCGCTCCCGACTCCGCTTCGAACTCATTGTTTACCCAACCGTCAACACCAGAACAAAGGTCCTCTCTCACCCGCCGGCGCAGCTCTGACTACAACCCGCCTGACCCACTCCATCAATCGTTTCACTAATCGTCAAATAGAAATAATGTCTCGCGTTTCTTTCGCGATAAGAAAGCACAAAAAAAAACAAATATGGGGAAATATCACGGGATTATATTATGAAAAGACGAATCAGGCGCCTGTGATCATGTGGGTCCTTTTCCTAGTTGTGGTCTCGTAGTAAATGCGACACAGGCGGCTGGAGGAAGTCAGTGATAGTCATTGTCAGTGTTTGAGGTTGTGTAATGGTAGTGTCTGTACACCTGAACCAAGGAGGTATGGGTTCAGGTTCTAGCTGATCCAGAGGTGTGTTATGATATTAGTAATTTATGATGCAAATAATCAGGTATTTGAAGTTGTGTATAGGACTGTTTGGAGTGACCGTATACTGAAGAAGAATGATTGTTTCAGAATTAGAAAGCAGTGAATAAACATGGTTGTAAATATTTAAAGATTTTATTTTTCTTCTGGATTGATGCTAAATTTATCACAGTACGGATACTGATCCAACTTATTTTTTAAAGAGGGAATCCTGGGGGACAGGCAGGAAAGTTAAGTTCACAAGTACGTCAGCTTTGATCTTGTTGAATGGTGGAGCAGTTTTGAGAGCCCAATGGCCTACTTGAGCTCCTATTTCTGGTAAGATACAAAGAAAATTTAAGCCAAAGCTACGCTGTTACCCTCCCAATCCAAACAAACTACTCTCCCAACTAGCCCACTGACCTGATTACAACGTCACCTGACTAATCCCAACCGGGCTACCCACTTGGCCACTTCACCCTGCATGACCCAAACTTGCCTCCCTATTTCATCCAGCAATCCCCCATCTACTAACCCAGCCAGCCCCCTATCCAAATACCCACTTCATTTACCTATCTGTTCACTCATCTATTCAATAACATCAAAGTATACTTTCAAACAAGTGTTTATTGAGTCAGTGTCTGTATTTCAAGGCAATAATATGGACAATAGCTCCACTTGACAAATTTCTTTGTACTTAAGATTCACAGTACAATTATTCTGTAAGGTACCTTGTACAAGTATAGTGGAAGAAAATCGTTCTTCATTTTTGTAAAGTGATGAGTTAAGTACTATGCCAGTTTATGACGCAATCTTTCATACATAGTTTTTGGTGAGCAAAAATGGTACAAATTATGTATCCTCTGACACACTTTTTGAACAACTTTAAGCTAGATATTATTAAGTCATTGGTAGTACAGTGATGACATATTTTCAACAGGGAATTGACCATAATACAAGATCTGTTTTCTAACTCTATAATCAGATAACCAGAATTATCTTTTAGACTGTCCATCAGAAGTGGCAACTACAGGTCCAAGTGCTAAACAGCCTTTCAATAAAGGAAATCTGAATGGCTATTATTGAGTAATGTTCTGAGGGACATTTACAAATATGGAGTAAAATTATTCAATTGCATTAAAACCTGTGTGCTGAAATCATGTTGATGGATTCAATAATGAATTTGATAAATTAGATCATTTGAAAATATGTATCCAAATATTTTAAACTTTATTAAAAGCAAATTTCAGCTGCACTAATTATATTGGCTCAATTTTCAAAGTGATAAAATATTGATTCACTTTAACATTTTCCTTCAATCTTCTGTGGGATGGGATGAATAAAATGACAGCTGATCACTTTGTTTTGCCTCATTTTTACTTACATTTAATATTTTCTCACAATCTTGCGCAGAATATATATCTCATTATTTTATACAACTTTTCATACATTCATTACAAGTGCCACACTTTCTTCATATATGCCTCTTTAAAACCATAGTCACTGATGTAGTACCCCACATCTGGATGACTTTTCAGGCTACAAGCAATAGAAGTTGTTTTAAAATATTCCAGAAACTGATGTGTTATATTCTGAATACTAATAATTGTGTCCTCTAATGCAGGCAAAACCCTATTGACATACTGCATCCAATCTGGAAGATTTATTTTCCACCATTCCTGGTCAGGATCAGGCAGAACTGTTCCATTTGATTCCAGGACATGGACAGAATTCTTGTATAATTCCTCCGAGAGCTCCAAAACATCTTTGCAGAACATTTCCAAACAGACTAGTGATTCTGGAAACACGCAGAATAAGGACTCTTGAAAAGAAAAGAGAGATATTTTTCACATGCATTTATTCTATGTTAAGACTGTAGGGTAGGTTCAAGATTCCATTTAAGCATTTTTAAAAATGTGTATGGCAGTGTCTTATCAATGGCTTTCTCTTCTTCTTGAGGTCTCTGCCAAAAGGCAGGACCAAGCCACAGTTCCATAATCTCCACCATGGATAGGGCAAGAAGACTGGTGCCGATTCCACTCCAGCTGGAATGGGGATCACGCCCCATGCTATGTGGTACCAATCTGATTCAGCTAACTGGACTAACCAAGCCCATAAGCAGTTAGTTTCCTGGGTGTACCACTTCTGAGCAGTATTCTGGCTAATTCCACAGCGCCTTCCACCAGCTCCAGTTGAAAGACGTAAGCCACCTTGTTCCTACAAACCAAACTTCCAGATTCCCCAAACCCCCTACTGATCCGCAGAACTGATTTTCTCTATCTGTTAGCACTCGACTCCTCATAGTTCTCAGTCCTTTTTTGCCCCCACTGCTCGATTACCCACCTCCTGCTCTGTTCTCTTTCTTTTCCATTCCAAACCCCACATCCCTTTCTACATCCTCCCCCATCTCCCTATCTTCCAACCCACGATTTCTATCCCTATTCCTCTCCCCATCTCTCTTGTTCCTACAAATTAAAGTCACCATGCGACCTTCTAGGTGAATCTAGGATGCTTCTCACAATTTGAAAAACCAGATCACTGTTCAACTCACATGCAGATAGTTGACTTTAGTAAGAAGGTAATCTGACACTCATTCTATCACGAGACAGAATCTTTCATCAGTCTAAACTTTCAAAAGTTTAAGAAAACTGATTTAAAAGAAGAGAACTGCAAGCATGTAGTCAAGCAAATCGTGCAACAACCAATGATTTAAACTCAATCAGAAATAAGCATGGTTGATGTGGTCTTACACCACTATTACTTTGTAGACTGGCTGTGAGGATGCTGCCTCTGGCTGTCTGCCTCTCTTCGGCAGCTTTGACTGACATGCCTGGGTGGCCGTGGAGCAGGAGTTAGCGTGTTAGCATACACTTGAAGCCTTTTGTAACTCACAATACTTGACCTGGAAGTCAAGTATTTATTTTTCATTCGTTCATGAAATGTAGGTGTCATTGACAAGGCTAGCATTTATTGCCCATCCCTAATTGCCCTTGAACTGAGTGGCTTGCTTGGCTGTTTTGAAGGGCAGTTAACCACATTGCAATGGGTCTGGAGTCATGGTGGGCCAGACCAGGTAAGGACAGCAGTTCCCTTCCCAAGAGGACATTAAAAAATCAGATGGAATTTTACGACAATCACCAAACCTAAATGCCGAGAGTGTTACTCTGGGGTTCTGGATTACTAGTTTAGTGACATTACCTCAACTACATTAGTTGTGACACACTAAACAGGGTCACCTTAGGTTTTCTGTTTGTTTCATGGCACTGTGGAGATTCAGCGCCTTAATTTATTTAAACAAAGGACATAGTGTTATAAAAGCACATACCAGCACTGGACTCAGAAATACAGCTCCCAACTGTTCGGCTTTCTTTGTTATGCATGTGTATCAACTCCTGTAGTAAATAAAGAAGGAAAGATGCAAATTGTTTGCTGAAATCCTATTTCTTTATTTGTCAGATTGCTTAGTTTACAGCGCAAAGGATTTGTCTTTTTCTACTGAGTTATATAGTTGCACAGGAACTTCCTATAATAATGGGATAAGTGAATCAGTCTCAGTCTTACCAATTAAAAGGAGAAAGAGTTGTATTAGCTTTGGTTAATCACCCTGATGGAATTGGGTAATGTGAGGCATTAAAATCACTGAGGCAAGATGCTACTTTTACTCTGCAATTTCAACTGTGAGTTAGGACCTCATTCCAGGCAAGGGTGGAGCTGACGGAAACACAAGATGTTGGGGTCTGAGGATAACAATCACTTTAGCATATTTTCTGTGAGGTCAACACCTATTGCTCACCTCCAGTAGTCACAGATGCCAAAACACAGAAGATGAAAAAGATAAATTGTAAAGCCTTTCTAGACTCCTCAAGGAAATCTAGGGCCTTCTATACCCCAGGCTTCCCTTTGGTTGCCCATGATTTACTTTAGAGACCTCCAACCCCCATTTAGATGTATCTTTACTGGTTCATTTTTCCAACCCTGCTGCACATGCTTGTTATCTGCTGGGGCCTTATTTCTGCCAGGCTTTAGAGAGAATTAGGGCTAATTTATATAAATAAAGAAACAGGGGTTTTGAAATTAAAGTGACCTCATGCCAGTAACTAGGTGAACTTGGTGCTTGGCTACCATTACATTTGGGCTATTGAAGTTGTACACAAGTTTGTTATGGAAAATACATAGCCTCAGCAAAATATAGTGATTAATGGCCATTTGGAGAGTGAGAGGAAAAGGATTTAACATCACATAACTCCTGAACAATTTATTTTACAATGGCTTTTGTCATGAATGGAAGCAGTCTGGCTGCCTCAGAATAGATGTTACAGGATAAAGCTATAGACAATAACATCACTAATAAATCAGAAGGACCAAACTACTTAAAACATGACTTAACTCTAATGACGAGAGTTACTTGGAAATTCTACGTATGTATACAATAGGGGGAATGTGGCCAAAAGTCTCCCAAGCTTCTGGGTGGTACTATCCTTTGTTGATCATTTTATTTTTCTTAATTGTAGTCATTCTTGCACAAGGAGGACTATGGTATGAGACAGTTGTTGCAAGTTCTCATGAGCCCTTACTGCAAAGTTTCAAGTCCACCAAGTCTATTCCATACAGCTGTGACGCCTTTGCACTCAGGTCAATAGCCACCAGTTTCATTTCTCTGTTAATGAGGCAAAAAACTGGGTGAACAGCATGAGTCAGGTGGGGCAAAAACTATTGGTATTCAAGAAGCCACAACCTGTAGTGCCCAGGCCGTCATTGTAACTAAGGTTTTGTCTGTATGGCTTTGAATCCCACTCTCATTGCCTTTTAGAGAGTTCTTGTGGCCCAGTGGTAGTATTTATATGTTTGAACCAGGAAGCTGGGTTCATGTCCCATGTGTTCAGGAGGTGGCAGTTAATAGTTAAAAACAAAAAAAAAATCATGGTGATTTGGTGATGGGAAAAAAATCATTTGTGTGTGATAGCACTTCCAGATATAAAAAGGAAAAAGAAAGCTGGGTGCTCCAGTCATTCCTAAGTATTGGACTTGCATTTGATGGTGGTCTCAATAAATGCAAATTAATAACTCAGCAGCAGTAGCTGATGCAGTCATTTGTGTGTGTAGAAGCATTTACTTATGAAGGGGTTTACAGCCTACATCAGGGTGTCAACAGATTGCTACTTCATACATTATCAGGGAGAAGGTAGCTGCTCTAGGGTCTTCTGTTGTGATGAGTCTGCAATTAGAATAGCAGGAAATTTGAAGCACAAAGGGACTTAGAAGCCCTGCTTGCTCACGATCCACCTAAGGTTAACATATGAACTCAGTTGGCAGTTAGGAAGACAAAAGCAATGTTCACATTTGGAGAGGGCTAGAATGCAAGTGCAGGAATGTACTACTGAGGCTGTGTAAGGCTCTGGTCAGAATGGATTTGGAATACCGTGAGTAGTTTTGGGCCCCATACCTAAGGAAAGATGTACTGGCCTTGGAGAGGGTCCAGAGGAGGTTTACTAAAATGATTCCAGGAATTAAGAGCTTGTCATATGAGAAGTGGTTGAGTTGAGGACTCTGGGTCTGTACTCAATGGAGTTTAGAAGGATGAACAAACAGGGATCTCACTGAAACTTACAGAATGCTGAGAGGTATGGACATGGAGAAGATGTTTCAACCAGTAGGAGAGACTAGGAACCAAGGCCACAGCCTCAGTGAAGGGATGACCTTTAGAACTGAGATGAGAAGGAATTTCTTCAGCCAGAGGGTGGTTAATCAGTGAAACTCATTGCCACAGAAGACTATGAAGGACAAGTCATTTAGTGTATTTAAGACAGAGATAGATAGGTTTTTGATTAGTAAGGGGATCAAAGATAGGAAGAATGGAGGAGATTGGGGTTGAGTAATATAACAGAGACTAATTGGCTGACTGGCTTAATTCTATTCCTTTATCTTATGGTTTTATGGTCTTTATGAATAAAAGTGATCAAGACATCGAACTTCAATCTAGATTGAGTTGTCTTTTCAGCATTCACCATGTTGGATAACATATTAATATAATTCTTACTGGCTCCTGTTTGTCAGCATATAGATGGCAAAATGTTTACATTGCAAACAAATTTATTGCAAAAGGTTTTGACAGTGATAGTTGCCTACCTCAGTGGTCACCGCTGCATGGCGTAAATTTTTTTTCTGTAAATATATAAATTCTGAGATAAATTTCACATGTTGCTGTTCAATAGAATTCAGTTCTATATCAGTAACACCTTTTCGATGGAGCTCATATACTTTTCCACTCCAGTTGCGGCGAAGAGTGGTGATGCTATTGGTTGCTTCTGTGGACTCTGTACCATTCCATCTGCAATATAGTAACAGACAAAGGTTTCCAATTTCAGAATACTTCATGATTTATCTAGTGAATTTCAGTGCTGAGGTGTTGACAGGCCTGTAGGCCATATGTCCCAAAGATTGTCAAATAGTTTAAAATAGCATATCCTTTCAGCTAAAACGGAAAGAACTGCGGATGCTGTAAATGAAATAAAAACAGAAATTGTTGGAAAAGCTCAAAAGGTCTGGCAGCATCTGTGGAGAGAAATCAGAGTTAACTTTTCGGGTCCAGTGACCCTTCCTTGGAATTGAGGATATTAACTCTGATTTCTTTTGGTTAGGTTAGCTAATTGGCTGATTTGCAATGTACAATGATGCCAACAGCATGGGTTCAGTTCTTGCCGTGGCTGAGGTTACCATGAAGGACTTACCTTCTCAATTGCTCCCCTCTCCTGAAATGTCATGACCCTCAGATTAAATCACCACCAGTTGTCTCTAAGGAGAGAGCAGCACTACGGTCTGGTGGGACTATGACAACTTTATTTTGCCTTTTACCTTCCGTAACAAGCAAGGTACCAACCATACCAAACCAGCCGGTGCTTGCAAAATCCCGTAACCCAGTGTACAACATTAGATGTAATTCTACAATTGGACAGCGTTTGCTGAATGATTCCAAATGTTTGTAGAATTGTCCTGACAATTAGTATTGTCAGTCAAGCTGGCAGTGTAGTGTACCTATGTGTACTAGAAGCTACATATATTAATACACAGGGCCTGTTCTTTGCAGACAGAGAGAATTTGTACATCAATTCTACCTGTTTCAACTCAACAGAATAGGTGACAGCATTTGAGATAACACAGTGGAGAGCTGGATGAACACAGCAGGCCAAGCAGCATCATAGGAGCAGGAAAGCTGACGTTTCGGGCCTAGACCCTTCTTCAGAAATGGGGGAGGGGAAGGGGGTTCTGAAATAAATAGGGAGAGAGGGGGAGGCGGATAGAAGATGGATAGAGGAGAAGATAGGTGGAGAGGAGACAGACAGGTCAAAGAGGCGGGGATGGAGCCAGTAAAGGTGAGTGTAGGTGGGGAGGTAGGGAGGAGATAGGTCAGTCCAGGGAGGATGGACAGGTCAAGGGGGCAGGATGAGGTTAGTAGGTAGGAAATGACTCCATTTTCTCCCCCTTGGTCCAGGAACTCCCTACCTACGTCCGTGACACCACCTACGCCCTCCACCTCCTCCAGAACTTCCTCGCGAACCATTTCAACTCCCCCTCCCATTCCTCAGATGACATGTCCATCCTGGGCCTCCTGCAGTGCCACAACGATGCCACCCGAAGGTTGCAAGAACAGCAACTCATATTCTGCTTGGGAACCCTGCAGCCCAATGGTATCAATGTGGATTTCACAACCTTCAAAATCTCCCCTCCCCCTACCGCATCCCAAAACCAGCCCAGCTCGTCCCCGCCTCCCTAACCTGTCCTTCCTCCCACCTATCCCCTCCTCCCACCTCAAGCCCCACCCCCATCTCCTACCTACTAACCTCATCCCGCCCCCTTGACCTGTCCGTCCTCCCTGGACTGACCTATCCCCTCCCTACCTCCCCACCTACACTCACCTTTACTGGCTCCATCCCCGCCACTTTGACCTGTCTGTCTCCTCTCCACCTGTCTTCTCCCCTATCCATCTTCTATCCGCCTCCCCCTCTCTCCCTATTTATTGCAGAACCCCCTTCCCCTCCCCCATTTCTGAAGAAGGGTCTAGGCCCGAAACGTCAGCCTTCCTGCTCCTATGATGCTGCTTGGCCTGCTGTGTTCATCCAGCTCTACACCTTGTTATCTCAGATTCTCCAGCATCTGCAGTTCCTACTATCTCGGTGACAGCATTTGATGGCAAAGTTCTGACCAATCAGAGTCAGAGTTTAGAATTTCAGCAAAGCTTGACACTTAAATGTCATTCACCATTAATCAGTGCATTTTCTCTGGCCATGCCTCTGTCAGAGTCCACTTGCCAACCTGTTAGTATTGTCACTTCATGCAAAATAAACATTGGTTTTCCATTTGAATTAGCATCCTTTTGAATTGTCCAGATGAATGAAATGTGAAAAGCTTCAACTAAGTAAGTCTTTCTTCAATGTGCTAATTTACATGAAGAATTTTCAATGCATGATCAAGCATAATTTTCGGTATATATGCTCTCTAACAGAATTTTCAGCCTATATTCTCTCTAAATTACATGTCAAAAATGTCTACAGAGGTATCATGTAATATATGAAAGTGATGGATAGAAAAGATCCACTTTTCCACACCTTAAGTTAAATGGGACTTTCCTAAAATTTTGACCTTTCTTTACTTTCCACAGATGCTGACTGACTTTCTGTATACTTCCTGCAACTTTTATTTTGTTTCAGGTTTCCAAATAATAGGCTGGAAATCGGCAGCAAGATCCACACGAGGCTTGGAAGAGCACTCCTGCTTACTTCCACATCCATTCTCTCTTGGATAAGGCTTTCAGTAGTTGAGTTAATAGCTGATGTCTGTTTAGGCTTTACAATGTCTAGAAATAGAAGACTTGAACGCTCTACCCATTTCTGGAATGTTGCAGTTGTGATTCCATTCCAGACATTGCCAAAATTTTGTACAGAATTTTTGGGTTCAGATATTTTGTAATTTAGCTGTTCAGAGATGTTGTAATAAACTTTGGTGGAGGATGAGATTTGTTCCTACCACTACAGCATTAACCTGTTCAGGGATGTTGTGACACATCTCTGGAACAGATGAGACCTTAACCTGGGCCCCCTAGCTCAAAGTTGTGGACACTACCACTGTTCCACAACAGCCCAGGTCTACATACAAAGACAAAACTGAAAGTTGATAAAGGTGGACAAATAACACCCTCAATTGCTGACCTCCTATTTTTCAAGCAAGACACATGCATGGCAGAGAAACTCTGGTACTTTCATCCAGAGTTGAAGCATAGGATCTTTTTGGAATGCTATAAGCCTTCCTGGTTACAGGCTATTCAAATGAGGTAGACAGGGGGAATAGAGGAGGAGGGAATCCTAATATTGATCAAGGAATCAATTATAGCGGTGAGGAGGGATCCTATCTTTGAACGATCATAAAAGTAGACCACATTGATGATGAAGTAAAACACAAAAAGGCAAACATGCTAGACACCCTAAACAGTCACGAAGAGATAGAGAATCAAAATTTCAGAGAATTGTATGAATAATAAGGTATTAATAGTAGGGGATTTTAACTACACAAATATTAACTGGGATAGTTTCAGTGAGCAAGATAGGGAGGGCATCCAGAACTGTTTTAGCCGCAGAAAGGAGCCTGGGCAGGTGGCAGGGAACATTTTGTACATAATCACCATAATTCCATTAGATTTGGGATAGTGAAGGAAAAGGTTAAGGATGGGCTGGGAATAAAAGTTCTAAACTGGGGAAAGGCTATATTTTACTAAGATAAGATACAATCTGGCCCAAGTGGACTGGGGGCAGCTAGTTGCACATGAAACTGGGCAGTGGGAGGCATTCAAAAAGGAACTAGCGAAACAACAGAGCAAACATGTTCCCATTAAAACAAAGGATGGGGCCAAGACCAGAGAAGTCTAGATGTCATGGGACATAAAGTTTAGGTTTAAGAAAAAAAAGAAGTCAATAGCAGATATCAAAAGCTCAATATGGTGAAGTGCAGATGGTAACTTAGAAAAGCAAATTAGGAAAGCTAAGGGAGTGCATGAGTGAGCAAGCATTTGTGGGTAGAATAATGAAAAACAACAAAAGGGTTCTGTAATATATAAACAGCAAGTGAATGACTAGGGAAAGAGTAGGGCCTATTGTAGACCTTAGAGCTAAATGTCTGTGGACTCAGAAGTCAGAGGCATAATCCTCAATGAATACTTTGTGTTCAGCTTCACAATAGAAAATGATGCAAGTATAAATTTCAGGGGTGGAGGACTTTGAAATTTTGGAGGTAATTAACAAAGTGAAGGTACTAGCTGGCTTTAGCAGCCATAAAAATGGATAGCTCTGCAGACACGTATAAGATGTATCCCAAGCTGTAGAATAAGGCAAGACAGGAGATAACAAGGGCAGTAATTTTCAAATCTTCTCTGGCCATAGGTGAGGATCCGGAGGACTGGAAGGCTAATGTTGTCCCATTATTTTTAAAAATGGAGAAAAATGGAGATAGATCAAGAAATTACAGGCCAGTCAGATGTTATTAGAAAGTATTCAAAGTGTCAGAGTATATCTGCAAATTAAAATGCACGGATTGATCAGAGATAATCAACCTGGATTTGTTCAGGTAAGGTCACGTTTGACAAATTTGATCAAACCTTTTAAGGAGATAACCAGGAATGCTGATGAAGTAATACAATTAATGAGCTCTATATTGACTTCACCAAGGCTTTTGATAAGGTTCCTCATGGCAGAATTGTCAACAAAATAAGAAACCCATGGGAAAGTAGCATGTTGGATCTAAAATTGACTGAGAGGCAGAAACAAGAGCTTGATGTTACAGGAATGTGACTGGAGGTGGGATTCTGCTAGGCTGAGTGCTGATGCCCTTACTGTTTGTAGTGTGCATAAATTATTTGGATTTAAATATAGGAGACATGATCAAGAAGTTCATGGATGACACAACATTTGGTAGCAAAAAGTAAAGAGGACAGCTGTAAGCTGCAAGAGGAAATCAACAAACTAATCAGCTGGGCAGAGCAGAGGCAAATGAAATTCAACATGGAAAAGTGTGAGATAATGCATTTGGGGAGGGCTAGCAAAGCAAAAGATTATATGATGATTCATAGAACCCTGAAAATTACTGAAAATCAGAGGTACCTTAGTATGCCTGTCAACAGATCCCTGAAGATAGCAGAGTAGATACATCAGATGTTAAAATGATACAAATGCTGTCAGATGAATATGTCACTTCTTTCTAAAAACATAAAGCATGAGACAAGCTATAAATCCAAACAAGGCAAGTTCTACCCTTATTTTAAATGAAGTCTAAATGAGAACAATT